GCTTTATTTTTACATTTTTCGATCTTTTTCGTCGCGTTGTGATGACGTCACATACGCACTTTCGTCGACCGCGCTTTTGTGGAACGCGGTTTTGACGGGTCACACATTCCCTTCACCCACCCACCCCCTTAGTGAGTTGTCGGGAGACAGCAGGGACACGAAATCTTCCAACTTTCACCTTCCTCGAGGCAGTGTCCTGGGACAGGGCATAGAGGAACGGCTGGGAGAACCCAAAAGTACCTGGGCTCGGTTAAAGTCTGCTAATGCCATGGCTTTAGCCCTGCGACATTCTTCCTCCAATTGCGCCAGCTCCCAGGCTCGCAAATCCAGCTCTATTCTTTTTTTGCCTTCCAGATTATCTGCAAGGTTGGGAGGGTGTAAAACACGTGCAATGCAAAGACAATCCCTACAAAACATATCCCATTGGATTACAGATGATCAAATTACAGCTGTGGATATTGTTCTTTGCTTATACCCAAATGGTTTGTGGCAGAGCCAGCAGAGGGAGCAGCTGGATGTTATTTTCCATAGTGGCAGCTGCAGAGCAACTTTCCTTTTGTTGGCCTCCCATCCCAAGAACAACTCTGCTACTCATTCCCAATTCACACGTACCCGCGTATCGTTGATCAGCAAGTTCCTTATTCCGTTCATTTCTCTGCTCCTCCAGCGCATGCTTGTTCTGCTCCTTCTGCAGTTTTTGGCGGGCAACTGCATTCAAATCCTCACCAGCAAAGCACTGCAAGCTAGAAGGGCCACAGCGTGGGTCGTCATCACGCACACGGGCCGGCTGCCCTTTGCGTACCGCCTCAGGGTCGTGGATATCCCATTCCCGCCGCATAGAAGGCTGCTGCTCCCGCTCACGGAACTCCACCAGATGCTGGCATAACAGCTTCTTCCGCTGCTGCTCCTCTTCCTCTAACATCTGGGCAACCTTGTCACACTGCACCCTGTCTGCATCTGTACAAACAAGTTAGGACAGTGCTACGCAGTGCACAATTTGTGCCATGTGCCCGTCTGGAATAAAATAGGATGGGCCTTCTGAGTGAAGAGGTGGGGTGGATATTCTGCACCAAAATTAATAAAAAATTAACCTGCAGAAAATCCAAGCTGTATGGAAATGAAAACATAACAAATTCCCAAGCACACCAACGCTGTTTGCCCAAGGGCTCATTTTAAATAATTCAGCAGCTGCTATCTTTGGCTTCTATCTTTTTCTTTGAGTATTGCATCCCTTGTAAATATGTTTTAATAATATACAGTTGATCCCATTGTCAAAATTATTGCATCCAGTTTTCTATGACCTTTATTGATCTGTAGAAATTTTGGGCTTATACTGCAATTATAGCAACTGTCTATTGAGTTTGAACTGTTCAAGTCTCCATATATTATGCTTAACTACGGTTAATTTATCAATAGGTTAATATATTGGATAAACTAACTATCCAATTAGCCCAACAATGTAAATAAATCATGTTGGCTTGATTCACACAACAGTAAGCCAGATACACACCTTTTACAAAGTTTACTATGTCATATAAATGCAGTCATAGCTTAGGTCAGGGTGTCAAATTCAAGGCCCAGGGGCCGGATCTGGCCAGCGGGGTACTTAGATCTGGCCTGCGGGGCCGCCCTGAAAACCGAAGGACCGGCCCGTGGTGCTTCTGCCAGCGAAAACAGGCTCCCAAACTCTGTTTTCAGTTGCCACGGCCTCCTGCAATCCTCTGCCAAGGAAAACGGAGCTCGGGAGCCTATTTTCGCTGGCAGAGCTCTCTGGCCGCCACTACAAGTGACATCGAGCTGGCCATGCCCTCCCAGCTCTCCCCCGCCCCCCAGGTCAAACACAATCCTGATGCAGCCCTCAATAAAATCGAATTTGACACCCCTGGTTTAGGTATTGAAGGGCTACTGTCCTCCATCATTAGAAGCTTTCTTTATACAGTGTCTGTTTCTAATTGCTTCCTTTTCAATGCAATAATGGTGTTACTGATGGATCTTTCGTTAATGACTTCCTGTTTCCATGCAAAAAGTGACTTATTTTCTCCTTATTACAGGCAGTCCCCGATTTACGACCACAATTGAGCCCAAAATTTCTGTTGCTAAGTGAGACATTAAGTGAGTTTTGTCCCATTTTATGACCTTCCTTGCCACAGTTGTTAAGTGAATCACTGAAGCTTTTAAATTAGAACCGCGGTTGTGAAGTGAATCTAGTTTCCCCCTTGACTTTGCTTGTCAGAAGGTTGCAAAAGGGGATCACATGATGACCCTGGGGACACGGAAACCATCATACACGTGAATCAGTTGCCAAGCATCTGAATTCTGATCCCATGACCATGGGGATGCTATACCAGTTGTAAGTGTGGAAAGCGGTCATAAGTCACTTTTTTCAGGGCTGTTGTAACTTCAAATGGCCACGAAACAAACTGTTACAAGTTGAGAACTACCTGTAGTTTTGTCATCTGCACTGACCCCCCAGTTGATTTTCAACCATACTTGGAATGATGGGATCAGAAAACACATTAAATTGCACTAAATCCGAATATCATACTAAAGCTGCAATTCTGAGATTGCATGGCTGAATTCTGATTGCATTTTTCCCGGCTGACCTTTTGCAGTATGTGGGTGTTAGTGCTGAGAAAGATTTCTATCCCTCTCTCACACCTAAACCTCATTCCCCCCCTCCCCAAATGGCAGAACATTTCACCCAGGCCGATTCAACATGACACTATCAACAAGATTTCCCAAGAAGCTCTAAAAAATAGAGATGCTAACTACATCCACCCAGGAATTGCTCATTCCTACATTTACAAATCACAGTGATGAATTAACTGGGCCCTCACATTAAGTCGTAATGTGGTTTGTTTTGATTTCGTATGCTGATTTAGACAATTAAGCATAGTTCTGTTAATTGAGGCTGATGGGTTATGTGTTATGTGAATATTCAGACAACCTTATTTGGCCTTGCTGATCTTTACAGTTTTGAACGGTTGAGGCCCAAATATTTAAGGGATAGTTTTCCTTTTGTCTACTTGTTCAGGGCACTGTGTTTCCTGATAAATGAAGGTAGGGAGGTTGTGTAAGAAAGGGCACTTCATCTTATGGCACCTCACATGAGGAATTCTCACTTTAAGCAGGCTCCTCCACCCTTTTATTGCCTAGTGCAGTGTTTCTCAACCTTGACAACTTGAAGTCCTGTGGACTTCAACTCCTAGAATCCCCCAGCCAGCATAGCTGGCTGGGGAATTCTGGGAGTTGAAGTCCATAGGACTTCAAGTTGCTAAGGTTGAGAAACACTGGCCTAGTGCCTTCCTTCTCTGTGCTAATTATTGCATTTTATTGTCTCTTAATTTATAATTTATGAAGAATTATGTTTGCCATAGGGCTACAGGCTACAATAACACTGCTCTATTGAGCGAATAAGCAACAGAAGCTAAAGTAGAAAGCTATTAATGCTGCAAAGGAGCTTTACTTAGGATATTGTTGAATAAACATTAGAGATGGAGCTTATCCATAGGAAATAGTCAGTATAGATAATGTAAAGCTATATGAAATGCAGTGTATACTGCTATTTTAAAAGAGCCCGAATTTTCTTGATGGTCCCTTCCAAGAAGCTACCTCACAAACGTTTCTGAACTATTCTAATTTGGAGCATTTTGATGATACGATGCTCACATAGTCCCAGCTAAGTACTTACATACTGTACTTCCAAGTCTCTGTAATTATAATGAGTAAGAAGCCAAGGTTATTTTATAGTCTCCAAAATAAGAAAGGAGGAAGAGAAAGGAGAGAAGGGAAGGGAGAGGTGGAAAGAAGGAAGGAGAGAAGAAAGAGAAGAAAGTGG